AACCTTCATTTAAAAACTGCATGTTGTGTTTACTTGTGTTATCTTTGACTAATATTTAAATTAGTTTGATGATCTGAAACATTAAAGTGTGACAAACATGCAAAAAAATAAGAAATCAGGAAGGGGGCCAACACTTTTTCACAGCACTGTATATATTTTTGTTTTAACTTAAGACATTTGGAAGACCCCATGTACCCTACTTCATTAATATATATCTGGTAATAAAGGTCTTTTCTGAGTGCCATTCTCTAAAAATCCAACCTTTGGGATGGAGAATTTAGTGTTTATTTTGCAGGATTCATCTCCCTATGGTAAAACTGCTGATATTTCTGTACAGCTCTTAGTTTCATTTGAGCTCCAGCCCAGATCTTCTGTGGCTCGTTTCCAAAATGCATCAGAGCAGCAGTCCAGCAACATCTTATGTTTTCCTTAAACCATTGTTCATCCTGTGATGTAGTCATCAACACAGTTCCCACAAATAACTATAGCTATAACTGAATGAAGGTGAGTAATGGGTTTATTTATGCAGCTTCTCTTGAGAGGTATAGTGTCTGCCGTCAGATTATTAAATCAAGATGTTGTGCAAAGCAGCACCAGTAAATTATACTATAGATTGTGTTGCAGAAATTTGCCACAATATGGGTTGTTTTTGCCAGTAATAACCCACTTAGAGACGGAAAGCCGATCTGATTGACATTAAAAAGCAACTAACCAGAGTTTCCGGTTTTATGTGACGTTTAGAGGCAGGTAAATGTGAAATCGATGATGCCAAAATAATCAGCCAATGTGCAAAGTGGTGGTGCATTCAAGAACTGATACAGCAATCACTGTGAAAGCTTACACAGTCAACACTTAAGCAATTTGTTTAAAATGTTTTGCAACTTTGTGGTCAGAAATTGTATCCGTCAAAAAGTAATAAGTAGCAGTTATTTCACAGACATTTCTGTAAACAGTCAATTAACAGTCGATATTCAAGTAAACAATAGCATGTTTACTTGCTACTAATTGCCTCTCAAATATCTTTTAAAGAATTTATGCCATTCACATTGTACACATTGGTGAATACAGCAACTGGTTATTCCTCTAAAATGCTCATTGTAGCAACCTGGGAACTTGTAAACACTCCTTCCTAGCAGACTGATTAAAATCAAGTGCATGCTGACTCCTGGAAGTTGCATAGCAGTCAACCAATCATATTGGAGCTGGCCAGATGTTCTCATTTTTGCATGCAACATGCATCAGACGGTCCCTAATGGGTCCATGGACATACTTTCTGGAGCTTGTCATCAAAGATGTTTCTCCATTGTCATGTGGTGTGAAATGAGATGATTTAATTTGATGTGATGAGGGCATCTCTTCAGGTCAGGAATGGCATTAAACATAACTAATAAAAATGCTCAAACAATTCAGTTAGCATGCAAACATTTTTAGCTGTAAAGAGAAGATATTTTGTGTGTTTATATGGTTTTGTAACGAGAATCGCATTGAACAGGCATTCACATAGGCAAACAAGCAGATGCTTCGATGAGAGCAGCCTTCATTATGTTTGTGCTCCTCAGAAGCTGTTCAAATCAATATGTAATCTGAAAGAGAGAGAGATAGAGAGAGAGAGCGCTCAGACAGTCTGGGTTGGATGCCAGCTTGTTGACTGAAATTTGAATAAGCATAATGCTCCTGTGCCTGAAGAGGGGTTATTTTAGGACCTTGCATTTTTTAGAGACTGGAACAGATCGAAATCCGTTCATAAGAGAGAATGTGATGGGGTGGGCGCTTTTTAAGATGTGACATAACTGCAAGCTCAGGCACTGACAAATAGGTTAATAGACTATTCAACAGCTTTACAGTTATGCAGCATTTCTCATAAAGAAAACATAATACTGTTACAGCTGGAGGCTTGTCACATACAGATGGGGCTGGAGGCGGCAATGTATTTCACCCTGTATTAACGGAGCTCTT